CGATAGGTTATAAAAAAAAAAACAGACAAATAAAAAAGCTCCTGTACAATGAATAATTTAATATTCGACCTCAAAGATGCAAGACAAATTTATCCATGAAATAAATTAGCGACTTAAACGACTTTAGTATGCACGTGTACTTTGCTTCGAGTGTGCGGTGAATTTGAAACGTGGTTTAAATTTTAAATTAAATTTTCATAATTGAACTTTATAATTATATTTGAATTTTAGTTTTTAAACTTTTCTGCTACTTTTGAGACTGTATGTACATTTGATTATTAAGAAAACATCGAATTAAGAGAGCGATATTGGTGTTTGAAGAAAAATAAATATCTTTTATAGCGCCAACCGCCCATATCTACTCACTACGTACACAAACATATTTCCAACCCTATTCAAAACAGCAACAATAGCGAGCTTGAAATTTTGCTTTGATTAGTTGACATGTGTCAGAAAACAGTGAACAAAAAACGGGGACAGAAAGATGTACGACACACAGACAACTCATTTTCTTAGAAAGACCGATGATCGTACTGACGTCGCTAAATTTTTATATTATCACTATTTACCCGTAACTCGTTGGGTCACTGACGGTTCAGGTTATAAAATATTGAAGTTGATTTCAACATACCATTGAAATGAAAGTTTTTTTTTTAGTTTTTTTTTTTTTTTTAAGCTTTTCACCCCAAGCAAGGCGGGAAGCCACTAGGACGCAAGGGGTTACAGAAGATTTGGAGCAAGATCAGATAGGAGTGATAGAAGAAAGGATGAGGAGAAGGATAGTGGATAGATCAAGGCAACTGGAGATGTCGATTGACATTACATTTGAATAGTTGGAGAATATAGCGCTCAGGGAAACTGGAATAGGGAAGGGAGTTCCACAGGCGAGAGGTGCGAGACATGAAGCTATTGGAGTAGAAGAGACGGCTACATTTAGTAATTTCGACAGTGAAAGGGTGAGAGCGGGATGCCAGCCTCGTAGGGTGCTTGAATTCATGAAGTCTGGGAACCAGCGAAAGCAGCTCATCGGAGCAATTACCATGAAAGTATTTGTAAAAAAGACAGAGAGAGGCGACGGCGCGTCTGTGAGAGAGCGACTGTAGACGAGATGCCAGAACAGGGCCAATTATATTGCATATCTGCATCTGGATCTTATCAAGAACCCCGAGGCAAACAGAAGGGGCCACAGACCATATATGGCAGTAATACTCCATGCAAGGGCGAATTGTTGATAATTTTATTATGATTCAATTGTTAAATATTTCAATTCGTTCTTTTCATCAATGGTCTAGTTAATGTTTAACGTTTTACTCTTTGTTTAAAGCATTTAGTAGGAATAGAGCTTCCGGGATAAACTTGAACTTTAAATCAGATTAATTTAAAAATATTTTTTAATATGCCAGAAAATATTTTAAAATCATATTCACTTGAAAATACTTTTTAAATACGCGAAAAATATATATTTTTAAATATTTAAAATATTGTGTGTTTAAAGAAAACTGAAATATAAGTTATTACTCTGCAAACAACTGGACGAAACAGCAAAGCGGGATCTCTTTTTGATTGTCTTTAGCTTACAAATATTTTAATTAAGATAATTGTCTGTTTGAAAAAAATAAAATAAAAATACTTACTGTATAAACAACTCGTAAACCATTATGCGCCGGACGGACGCACCACACAAGCACACACGCAATCACAAACTTTTAGTATTATATAGATTAACTGATTAATTTGTAGCCCATTTTTGAGTATGGCATTAAAGGTATTTCTTATTAAGGAAAATTAACCAAGAAAGTTTTATATTTGGCTTCGATACAACTTGGCCAGCTTTGAATGCGTCCAACTGTTCAATCAAAAATTCGTAAAAATAACCAGCCGGTCCCAACGCTGCGTGTAGAAACGTGATACATCGTAAAAAGAAACTGGAATAAAATCATAAAATATCAGCTTTATCTGAACCTGCTTGGTGGTTGAGAGATTTTCACAGAAGTTCATTGTTGACCCCAAATAGTGATTTTCAACGTTGTATTTCTATATTAGCATTTGATCACATTCCATTCTTTAGTTCCACTAGTTTAGGTTTTTACAGCTAAGAACGGCTCTGCTATGTTCACGGAGCCGAATCACGCCTATTCGCCCCGTATTTCAATTGTAATGAGTAAGTTCCACTCAGACAGCTTTTCCCAAGAATTGCTGCTTTGTGGAATATACTCCCGTATGGATGTATCCCTGAACATTACAACCTTTAACCTTTTTAAATCAAGAGTCAATCGTTATTTGTCCATATAATCTTCACTTCCATCTTCTTTCTTTTACCGCCCGCTGACGATAATCATAGGCAGCGCGATATTTGAAAAGCTCTTCCTCTTTTTCCTTTGACTTTTGGAGCAGCAACACACACCTCTTTTCGTTCGAATACACACAAGGCATACAAGTACTTCAGAGACACAGACCTGAGATTGTATTGAACTGTTCATAACTTCAACTTTGTTTCTTTCTTTATTCTTCTGTAACATGTCTTGTTAATACCTTTATTAATTGTTGTTTGGTTTAATTCCAGGTCTTTTTTTTTTAACCCGAACTCATATGCGTCCGCCAAATATTGTTTGCAAGACAAATGTACCAGGAGGCATAAAATGATTATACAAGACGACAATGCTATCTTTTATCTTGAGTTATTAATCTAAGGTGGAAATTCTCAGGGTCAGTCAGGAAGCGAGTTCTGGAAATGTCAACCGTTTTCTGCTTCTGCTCTGGTCTCAGCATTCTTGAGACCCATCTTGCAGGCAGCTTGCTCATCCCCAAGATCTCAGTTAAAACAGTATGAACCGAACCAGAACTAATGCCTATTGGGTTAGCTATTTGTTAGAGAGTAAGACGTCTGTCATCCACAGCTATACGCTGAATGGCATCAACTTGTTCATCAGTGGTTGAGGACGACCTGACCGAGAGTCTTCTTCTGTACTGTTCCTGACCGGCTTGAATTCCATAGCCCACTTTTTCACAGTTGCATCGGAAGGGGAATCCTCAGCAAGTGTCTTTCGTTGGGTGTCATACTTCTTTTTTCTTTTTTTTTTGCAGACTCTATTATTGCTCGGGACTCTTTTTTGTCTATTTTTAGATTTGTCGCACACTAACATTTATATGGGAATCCACTGCACAGAAATTAAGACAGAAATCTTAATTAGTTTTTCTAGTTTTATAAGAAGTGGTAGTGTTTTGCCATCACAAAATTGTTCAGCTTTGACTCTTCTTTCTGGGTGAGGCTTAGAACTTTTTGAACGACCCTCGCATTTCTCACTTTTATTTTCACACAGCTATCAAAACCGATTTTCTTGCTTAAGCTTTCTTCTACGTAACTATATCCACATTGATATTATTATTAGTAGTAGTAGTAGTAGTAGTAGTAGTATTAGTAGTTGTATTGTTATTCTTCTTGTGTTTTACTTTGGCTTTGTTTAGTCCGAGTTGTCCCCAATTCTCAACCAAAGACTTCAAAAGACAAGTTTTTACTTTGTATGAGAAGATGTAAAGAAATGAGGTGGTTTGTAATCAGATAGGAGAAAATGTTTAATTGTACACATAAGTATAATATTTTGCGATTCATATATTTTAGTGTTACCAGAAATTTGATCCACATATTTGTTTGCGTCTTTTGTTATCATCCACAAAGCCCCAAGAGCAACATGTAATAATCTTACAGGTTTCAGATCCAACATTCGCATTGATTTCCTCATATTTTCTGAGTTTCTCAAACATTTTCAAAGATAAACCTTTGTCACCTGGGACTGTAACATCTATCAGAAGACGTTTTCAACATGATTTTTCACAATTATGTTTGGTCGATTTACCTGGATTACGCTGAAATTCCAGAGGATTGTATCTTCGCTTTTCTGTATAACTTATATTGGCTTATGTCCCCCTCAATATACTGGGGTGGGGGGAGGTAAATGTGAGGCATATTGACTAATGTATATACCAAGCAGCCTATCATGTCATTGCAAGTACTCTATTGGTGCCAGTTGGCCACACCCAGATAAAATGTGGTCAATTGTCTACATATTTATTGTTATTATTCATTATTATTATTATTGATTTTAAATGCCTATAACTGATTACATTTATTTACCTGTCTGTGAGGACAATTACGAGACAAGCACACATTTAATGTGAAGTGTCACACACTCACGTGTGGGTAGAAACAAAATTGCTCAATCACACCAGCTTTTCGGAAGGTGCTGCTTATGACAATGATCTCCAGGTAACAGTCTTTATTATACAAGTATTTATATCCATCTAAAGTGACACATGACGCACGACACTTACGCAAGAAACCCTCAAATCACTTAATAATTTACCTTGGCATCGGAGACCTGTCACGCGGACATTACTCCCGCCGACAGCCTATGGAGATATATTCAAAGAATAGAAGCGTTTCCATTAAAACAACACTTAATAAGCAATTCTCGCAAGTCATTGTTAGTAAAGTGAGTTCGATCATCATTAGTCAGCTTTGTGTCAGAAGAGTCTAAGCTTAGTAGATAAAGATGAAAAGTAATCACTATTTTTAATCATATTTTTTCGTGTCCTCTCTCTCAATCTCTCTCTCTCTCTCTCTCTCTCTCTCTCGCACATACACAAAAACAGATTTATATTGATTTTGTCTGAATTTCTAGGATGAGTCATTATTATAATTTACATTATTTACATTCGCATTATTGTCCTTATTTTTGTAGAGATGTGCGGATGGTGTCATCGATAACTGCCCTGAATGAGAAATTTGAGAATTCCATTCGAGTTCTTTATATTCATTTGCGCGCAAATACTTTTGGGAAAGGTATAAATCCATCTCTTCTCTCCCCCCAGCTATGTGTTAAATAGTAGAACTTATATTTAGAAAAATCATTGTTATCTCCCCCAAAAATTGTTAATGCAATATTCTTACAATACAAAACATGTCCTTAAATAACACAGAAAGGCATGATAAGCCGTAAAAATCAAAGAGATGGTATCTGCCGTTGTTTCCTCCGGCTTTCTTCAGGTGGAAGAAGATGATGATAAGAGGAGAAGAAGAAGAGGAAGAGAAAGATAAGCGAAGAAGAAGAAAAGAGAAGACGATAAGAGAAGAAGAAGAGGAGGAAGAAGAAAAGAAGAAAAAGAAGAAAAGAGAAAAAGATAAGACAAGAAGAGGAAGAAGAAGATGAGAAAAAGAAGAAGAAGAAAAGAGAATAAGAAAAGAGAAGAAGAAGAGGAGGAAGAAGAAGAAGAAGATAAAAGAAGAAGAAGAAGAAGAAGAGGAAGAAAAAGATTCCTGACTGCTGGAAGTCCTCTTTGATTGTTCCTGTCTTCAAGAACTCTGGCGACCCCTCTGACCCTTCTAACTACCGTCCTATCAGTCTCCTACCCCTCTTAGGCAAAGTCTTCGAAGCCCTAATCAATACCGAGGTGATTAACCACCTCACATCCCGTAATCTGCTCTCAGACAAGCAATATGGCTTCCGCTTTGCCCGATCTACAGCTGATGTGCTTACGGCCATCACTGAAATTGTCTACCAAGCTCTTCAAAATAACGGAGAAGCTCATGCCGTGGCTCTAGACCTCTCCAAAGCATTTGATAGGGTTTGGCATGCCGGCCTTCTTCGCAAGCTCCAGGGTTATGGCATTACAGGTCGATTGTTAGACCTAATACAATCATTCCTGTCAAACCGTGAATTGGATGTCGTTCTCAACGGATTCTCCTCCAGTTCCTATCCAACGAACGCAGGTGTTCCTCAAGGCTCCTTCCTAGGTCCCACTCTATTCCTTATCTACATAAATGGCCTTCCTGGCGCCATAAATTTGGCATCTACGCGGATGGCACCACAATTTATTCCTGCCTCAAAAACAAATCTAGTGTCACTGACAAAAATAACCTGGGCATGCGTCTCGGAAAGGACCTCCAATCGGTTGTGAACTGGGGCAGGAATTGACTGGTCAACTTTAATGCTTCAAAAACAAAACTGCTCTCTATTAATCACCACAGGGACCCTTCCCTGCCCTCCATTAGAATTTCTGACGCTCAACTTCTCGAGACTACCACTCTGCGGCTGCTCGGTCTCATGTTGACTACTAGCCTGAGATGGAACAAATACATTGAGTCAATTGCTTCGTCCACCGCAAGGAAATTTGGCTCCCTGTGCCGCTCCAGGAAATTTTTCTCCCCAGAATCGATCATCCAGATCTACAAATCAACAATTCGCCCTTGCATGGAGTATTGCTGCCATATATGGTCTGGAGCCCCTTCTGTTTGCCTCGGTGTTCTTGATAGGCTCCAGAGGCGGATATGCAATATAATTGGCCCTGTTCTGGCATCTCGTCTACAGTCACTTTCTCACAGACGCGCCGTCGCCTCTCTCTGTCTGTTTTACAAATACTTTCATGGCAGTTGCTCCGAGGAGGTGCATACGCTGGTTCCCAGACTTCATGAGTTCAAGCGCCCTACGAGGCTGGCATCCCGCTCTCACCCTTTCACTGTCGAAATTACTAAATGTAGCCGTCTCTTCTACTTCAATAGCTTCATGTCTCGCACCTCTCACCTGTGGAACTCCCTTCCTTATTCCAGTTTCCCTGAGAGCTATAATCTCCAGCTATTCAAATGTAATGTCAATCGACATCTCCAATTGCCTTGATCTATCCACTACCCTTCTCCTCATCCTTTCTTCTATCACTCCTATCTGATCTTGCTCCAAATTTGCTGTAACCCCTTGCGTCCTAGTAGCTTCCCGCCTTGCTTGGGGTGAAATGCTTAAAAAAGATGTAGATAAAAGAAGATGAAGAAGAAGAAGAAGAAGAAGAAGAAGAAGAAGAGGCATAAAAAGAAGAAGAATAAGGAAGAAGGCCGAAATGTGATAATATTAGTCTGAATGTGAATAATGTAATAAATATTGCTCTTAATAAAAAAGTCTGAGTAATCTTCTACCGCCATCTCTCTTTTTATACGACGACATGCACAATTTTCAAGAGATATTTTTAGCAAATAGTCCCGTATGAAACCATTTTTCTGAAATGACAGATACAAGTGCAACTTCAAAGGGACCGCCGATTGAGTTTGCTTTGAACAGACAGGCAGAAAAATTTGCTTTAGAATATAATACATTTTTATCTATACATTCACCGAATGAATGATCACTTTCCATTTTTAAGGATGGTGTGCATTAAAAGATTATAGGTCGTCACAGCTCCCGTAACCCACCAGGGTCGTTGGGGCACCACATGTTCTGCAGTTATAGTAGTAGTAGTAGTAGTAGTAGTATGTATAGGGCAATGGTTCCCAACCTTTTCTTTGGCCTTGTCGCACTTAAGCATCTCTAAAATCCTGATGCTCCCATGTGACATATAATTCTTACTATTCAAAAGGTGTACTCCTATTCACGTGGATGAAGCCTAAAAGGTCATTAATTTAACTTTCCTTAAAAACTTGAGACTACATTTATGCAATCGTATTATCATTTAATTTTAGAATGTTGCAACATTTATAAAAATATTATTACTAATATATATATATATATATATACACACACACACACACACACACACATATATATATATATATATATATATATATATATATATATATATATATGTATGTATGTATATATATACAGTACAGACGTAATTACACATGTACATACATAGAAACAAATATTTTTATATATACATACTGTATATTCAACTTATGTAATTAACTCGCACGCACATACATACTCATGCAGACTCACCATAAAAAAATTCACTGTTAATCACTCCTTCTCGAATTGCCCGCTTTAAAAAACATGAATCAAATTGCCCTCCTGTGGGGTGTTCAACCAACGTTGGGAACCATGGGTCTAGGGTATTCACATTGATTAATTTATGCTTCTATATGCTGTGTCCCTTCAGGATGTGGACGGTCATAGCTTTCCACAACTTCCCATCCCTTGTGGCCTTTAGCAGTATTTTCTCTCTGCCAAGCCTTCCCACCCCCCGCTTCCGCCATCCATTCAACTCGTCCGAGAGATGGGTCCGCTGCCTTCCCCTATCTCGCTTACCCTTGATATGCCCTGTGAGGATTAAGTTTTCCAAGCCCTCATTCCTCTTTATGTGCCCAGGAAATTTCAGTTGTCTCTGATCTTGAGTATAAGCGTGCTTTTTGCTGCAATTTTCTTTAATATTTCCTCGTTGCTTACTCGTTTTGTCCACTGAATTCTCAACATCCTTCTGTATACCACATTTCTGCTGCCCCCCCCCCGTTTTGTTTCCATTTCTGATGTTATTGTCCATCGTTCACTGCCATACAAAAGGATTGATATTACATAGCAATTTAGCAGCCTTTTCTTCATTTCTAACAAAAATTTTCTGCTTCGTGGCGATTTAAGGATAAATCAACTAAAAAACACAATAATAAAAAGAAGCGAAAAATGTAAAATTATTTTTTAAGGAAATGAAAAAATTCGTAAAAATAATGCCGTGTCTGTAACAATACTTTAGAATCTCAAAAGGCTTGAGATTAAAATAACTAATTTAACAGCCAAAGAAGAACAGATCCGCTGAAATGTGGTAAAAACAATAAAATGGCAACAAAACTAATAATAATAATACAAGGTGTAAAACTCAAAATACGCCTTCTCAGGATTTTAAATTAGTTTTATAGAAAGGATTTTTGAACTCATTTCACCCCAAGAAAGGTGGGTATGCCGCTAGTACGCAAGGGGTTACAGAGAGTGAAAGTGAGGGAATAGACTGAGTATAGGGAGAACTGGGGAAAGAACAATAGATGAGCAGGATTCAAGAAAGATGGCAATAGACGTTTAAAATTTTTGAAGATTGTAGTTATCAGGGAAGCAAGTAAACGAAAGGGATTGACACAGGGAAGTTCGAGAAATACGTAACACGTTTAAATTCATGTAGTTGGGGCACCAGGGGGGGAAGCTCGTTAGAGCAGTTGCCATGAAAATATTTGTAGAAAAGACAGAGGGAAGCCATGCCACGTCTGTGAGAAAGTGACTGAAGTCAAGATGCCAAGTCAGGTTCGATTATATTACAGATCGTTCTCTGGATTTTGTCAAGAATTCTCGAGATGAATAACAGAGACACCAGACCAGATATGGCAACAATATTCAATACACGAACGAATGTTAGATTTGTAAATGTGCAAGATGGACTGTGACAAGAAAAAATTTCTGGCACGACACAATTTCCTTGCAGTAGATGCAGCAATAGATTCGATGTAGTCGTTCCACTTTAAGTCAGTTGAAAATGTGAGGCCAAGAAGGCGAACTGTGTTGCTCTCCTGGAGTCTAGGGTCAGCCATGCCTACAAGTAGAAATGTACCATTAAATAGAAAAGTCTACAAAGAATTATTATAAAATAACAGAACGTGAACAAAAGTGAATAAAGATAGGTAATTGTGTTGCCTACTATTACTTACGTTATACATTAAGTAATTCATACTATTTTTCTCATCCTGGCTGTTACATTGTTTCTATGGATACAAAGTTTCAGTCGTGTAACCTTCGGTCATGTTCAATAGTTCATCTTATCTGATAGAAATTATCTTCTTAATTCTTGTGTTGCTTTTACCTCTCTGATGTTTCACTTTCCTGCTTAACCAGACTATATGGATTTCCCTACTTCATCCTGAATATGGTCGGAGGGTATACGGCCGAAACTTGTGTAGATTATAAAATCTATAACAACCAAGATTAGGACTATAGTAAGGAAAAAATCAATGTATATTGGTAGAAGTTAAAAAATCGGCACGAACGCGTCGCGATAAGAGATGTTCAACCACATCATTTTAGATTTAAAAGGCATCCAGAAGACGCACTACAATCTTCTACGGACGCTGGCGTAATAAATAAAGTTGGTTAAAATACGTTACAGTTACCTTGTGGTCGCAAGTTCAACTCCTGGATCAGCTAGAGAGATTTATTTAGAGTGCAAAAGGACATTTATACATAACATCAGGAAGAGACAGTTGAGATTTATAGGGCATATAGTGAGAAAAGGGTGTTTAGAAAATCCGATACTCACATGACAGATTGAAGGCAAGAGGGTCAGAGGAAAACACCGCATAATTTACTTAGTGAGCTTGAGTAAGTTGGTGACAAGATTTAGGAGAAATGACAAAAAGGCAAAATTTATTTAGAGCTAGAAAAGGAAATTGTGGTGAGCCATGATCGCGTACGTCCTGAAGAGAAACAGCACACAGAAGAATATTTCAATAGGAACGAGCAAGAAATGACATTAAAGGGACAAAACTCAAAATTAACTAGTATTCATAAATGAAATGTTCCTTCAGGATTTTGGCGATCATGGTTCTCTGTAGATTCCGGTTTATTGTCTCTCCTGACCTCTTGGGAAATATAATGGGGTGGTTTCCTGTGGCCTTTTTCCTCGGTTTTGCATTCAGTTTATGACGAAGTTTAATATCTACTCTCAAAAAATGTTGTGTCAAAAAGGGCGGTTCTACTCTCGACACCTCCATTAATGTCCACTGTCTCGGTAATTTCTATTGTTTTAAAAAGTTATTTTTACAATTTTAATAAAACCCTGAAAAAAAATGAAACTGGAATTATGCATTCTCCTTTTTTCTCCAGAATTGACAACAAAAAGATTGAACATTATTTTAATAGTCTGTTTATTTACGAGAATAATTTTATATTTAGAAGTTTATGAAAATAAGTCAAACAACTACAATGCGATATTTACTATTAACCATATTATAAAGAAATAACTATGAAAGCTTTTTTTTTTTGTTCATAAATTTATAAAAATGCCTCCCTGTGAACAATACATCAAGAAAATGTAAAAAAAATATTACCTAGTAATCTCCCTTGATAGGAACTCTCGTGCTAGGGGCATTAACTCTCTTAGTTCAATATACTAACCCCATGACCCTTTTCTATACCGCCCTTCAAGCAATAAACATGTGTGTACATACGCTCGTCGTCCTTATCTCGTCTCTACGCTGAACCAAAGCAGGAAACTAAACAAGGTTCATTTTCCGGTTATTTCTTTCATGTTCGGAAAATGCATCTCTGGAGTTGACTTCATTTACTTTACTGAAACCATTACTAGGGAACGCTCTCCGGCACTATCAATACTCTGCAATAATTTTTCAAAGTCTCTTCTTACTTTTTTCGCTTACACGTCAACATGTAAGTCTCTCGCGGGAAAACGTGTTTCCCATTGGGAAACACATGAACAAACCACACACACACACAACACATGTACGCACGCACATTCACTCACTTCATATCCTTTGAACCTTTTTGTCACACACATCATTGTCTTTGTCAGTTGTATAGCGTTCTTGTTAATACATTATCATTTCTTTGTACATTTTCACGTCGTTTCTTTATATTGTATTACATGAACACACGTATAAGTCCACTTGCTTGTTGTTGGTATTCAAGGAAAGACGTGTTTTTCCCGATGTTAAATATTGCCCGCAACAAATCTTTTCAAAATTTCCTAATTACGTGCTTATGCAAATTTTCTTGTTGACAGATATTTTATGAATTTATGAATAAAAAATTGATCTGGCAACATAAATTCAATAAAATAGTTTGCAAGCATCAAGATTTATACTTTCTTCTCGTGAATTGACAATAGAAATTTTAAACGCTATTTATTTATTAGATTGTTTATTTACAAGAATATTGTTTAATAAGTTTGATGTCATTTCGCGAAATAATAGAAAATGTATAAATCCAGGTTCGTATGTAACTTTCTGGGACGATCCTTTTTGCTTTCATGATTCTGTACATGGTTCATTGGAGTGTCAATGCAAAAATCGTTTCCTGCTGTATAATCGAGCAATTTCTATCAGACGATCAATCATTTTCAAGATCAGATTTTTATAATATCCGAATAGGCTGGTCCCAGTAAAATAGGCATCAAGGCTATTTTGCCGGTAAATATAAACAGTGTTTTAAAACCAAGAATACATTATATTTTAGATCATCAGTGTACTGGTTGTGTGAGCTGTGTAGGCAGGACTTGAACAACATAGATCCTGTGGCCTCTGACTGTTGTCTTCTTCAGTGGGTGCACCTCAAGTGAATTGTCAAGAGAACCATGTCCAAAAGCAAGTTTGTAATTTGCAGAAACTGTCATGCCTAAAGTTCTACAAATATTCAGAGACTTCTATATATCTTCTGATAAATGATTTTAACTTGTGTTTTAACAATCGATGGTGGGAGAGATTTGAAATTATCTTAAAAATTGATGGTGAAAATAAATAAACTGCTTTCATAATAATAAAAATATTTACCGGCAAAATATCCTGGGAGTTTATTTTACGTAAACCGGTAAAATAAGATTAAAAGCATGTTTTTCTATTTTCCCGGGACCGTTAAAATAGTCTCTTCCTTTTATATTGAATAGGTTGCCGTTGTAAAATTTAAATTTTATTCTTTCACATTTTTACGTTATGGCGACGATTATAGGATATAAACTCCTATATGTTACAAGGAATAAGTGAAGCACAATCAAGTAAGAGACGCTTACGAATAAATCCTACTAAATTCAGTAGATACGAAAAACTGCACAAACACCGATTCAAAATTAAATAATTTGTTTCTGGAACCTGATTGGATAGGACAAGTTACGTGATGTGCTCTCTGCGATATGCGCGCGTTGAAACTCCAAATGACCCGGAAATAGGTTCGGGCTTAGGTTCCCCAATACATTCCCGCGCAAAATTCGGAGCCGACCCAAAACGATAAAAACGGCTTGCCAGCGTCAGACAGGACGAGATCCGAAACGGGACAATCAGCGACGATCTTCCAAAGATGGCGAAGCAAAACTGCTTCGATTAACAGCAATGACACACGTATCATGACAACGCGTATGTCAGCGATGATTTTTCTATATACAACGAAACTAAGTATCGTATCCTCTCTCTGTTCACTGTGTTTTAAGATTACTGCTACCGCACGCAATCAGTGAGCAGTCACGCACATGTTTCATTAGCGTGTGCTTCACACACATATATTGGCATGCATATCATTTCGAACTTTGCAGATTCACTTGCAACAAATCACTTTGAACACTCGAATTCTTCATCTCTTCATGATTACAACAAAGACAATTGAATTCTAATGTGTAAATACATGTATCTATTGTATAAATGTTATTGTCATATTTAACTTGGTCTTCTTTTTTGTGTCATTTCTTCACGTTGTTTGTTACATTGTATTGTACTTTGTGGACACGACACTCGAATTTTATTTTTCCACCTAAAATCCGGGTAGACTGATTCCACGCTATAACAAGCGTAATTTCATTCAAATTATATATTTTTGTAAGTAGGATGTTTAGTTCCATTAAATACATTCGAACCATTGGCACTTTAGTTGAAGAGAACCATATTAATATAAGGATTTAGACTATTTGGTATAACAAATATGTTATAACATATAGAGCTTGTCTACAAGAATCTGCTGAATGGATGTATTGAGAGTTCCAGTGCCACGCAGTCTGTGTTCAACAACTTGTATGAAAATAGCAGTTTGAAAATATAAATGGATAGTTATCTGGCCGATACAAGGTGCTAGTTGTATGCGCAGATATATGAATTGTATGCTTGTTCAATAGGAAATATACTATTTTCTTTACGATCAAGAATAATTGCATAAAAACAAAATACATATGTATACATGAATAAATAGTCGAAAATCGGTTCTTCGTTGTTAACCTTTATCTACACCCAATATATAATAACTTCTATAACAACCAAGATGATAAGAATATTACAAAAACAATTCTCAAATCCTTAAGAACCTGCGATGATAAGGAATATCCAACCATGGAATGCCTATTTTAAAAGGCGCCAAGAATACATCATATGTCTATTGAAAAAGGTGGCTAAGTGGATATAATCGTTGGTTAAAATGTGCTGAGGAGATCTTGTGGGCTCGATTTCAACTCTAGAATCAGGTAGTGAATTCGGTTTTGTATGGCTCAACAAGAACGAGCAAGAAACATCACCCCAGGGTCAAAACAAGAATTATCCAATATATATATGTCATTCACAGAGAGAGTATTTCGCTGTATCACAGATCATCAGTGTAGGTAGACATTCGATTGCCTCAATCCAGGCTCGAAACCTAACAGTCGGAGATTTTTCCCTGGGCTATCAGCTCCCGGCAGAGAGGAAGGTGAATTTTTACGTATTTATTGTATAATAAACACGCCAGTGACTCAAAGTGTTCAATTCATATATATATATATATATATATATATATATATATATATATATATATATATATATATATATATATAAATATATATATATAATATATAAAAAACAAAATAAACATTATAATTCATCGAGTCTAGAAAGAAACTCCACAAAAAGCACTGGACGGCCGTTTCGTCCTATATTTGGGACTCATCAGCAGTGCGCATTCACTACTGGGAATTGAAACCCGGACATTATCAGACTAACGTCATACCAATTGTACCAACGGGAAGAGGCGGCGAATTAGACTCGATTATCAATTTTGATATTTCATTTATGGATTGCCGCTCGATCACATATTCCGTGGTGGAACTCATCCGAGTTTCTCCTTACCCATAGGACTATGGCCCCCGCCCCACGTGCCACGACTACTATCCCCAAACCCGCTCCATCCAGAGCATTAGAAGCCGGTTCAAGCAAGGATATCCAAGTGATAGAAATTATTAGGAGGATATGAGATAATTATAATTAATTCATCGAGTCTAGAAGAAACCTCAACAGAATGCAGAAAGCACTGGACGTCCGTTTTCGCTATATCGAGTCTAATTCGCTGCCCCCTTCGTCAGCGAGGCAAGTTGGTACAGTTGGTATGTTGCGCTAAATTCCCAAATGAGAACGAATAGTTGTCTTTAAAAATCGACATTCAAAATGGTACCGACTTCAGACACCGGAAGTAAGCATTTTAAATTTCAACTAACATTCAGAGAGAGAGGAGAGAGAGAGAGAGAGAGAGAGAGAGAGAGAGAGAGAGAGAGAGAGAGAGATAGCAAAATACTTTCGTGAAAGACATAATCTGGATGAGAAGAAATCAAATAAAGACAATGACCGTCTATTCAATGTTGATTTATTAACGAGCAAATGACATTTAACTAAGAATTGATTATTCTCCAAGAACACTACTAATCTTTTTCTGTTCCAAATAAGAATAACAAAAACAACAACAAAAGACTTATTTTCAAGTTAGTCGCAGAGTTCCCTGCTTCGCTAACCGGATCGAGCCTTACATTACATACGGATTACATTCAACATCTCGCACCTCTCGTCTGTGGAACTCCCTTCCCTTCTCCTGTTTCCCTGTGAGCTATAATCTCCAGCTATTCAAGTGTAATGTCAATCGACATCTCCAGTTGCCTTGATCTATCCACTACCCCCATCCTTTCTTCTATCACTTGCTTGGGGTGAAATGCTTAAAAAAAAAAAAAAAATAGTTTCCAAATGGAACTGCACACTATTTCTAATCTTCTCTCAGGTTACGAATATACTTTCTTTTTTTAACAGAACCGAACACCATATCTAATCTTCTCTCATTTTACGAACATCCTTTCTTTCTTCTTTCTAATGGAACAGTACACCATTTTTAATCTTCTCTCGGGTTACGAACATCCTTTCTTTCTTCTTTGTAATGGAACGGTACACCATTTTAAATCTTCTCTCGGGTTACGAACATCTTTTCTTTCTTCTTTCTAAAGGAACCACACGCCATGTCTAATTTTCTCCCAGGTTACGAACATCCTTTCTTTCTTCTTTCTAATAGAACCGTACATCATTTCTAGTTTTCTCTCGGCTTACGAACATCTTTTCCTTTCTAATGGACCCACACTCCATGTCTTATCTTCTCTCGGGTTACGAACATCCTTTCATATAGAACCGCACATCATGTCTAGTCTTCTCTCGAGTTACGAACATCCTTTCATATGAAGCCGAATACCATTTCTAATCTTATCTTTCTTTATTTCTAATAGAAACACACACCATTTCTAATCCTCTCCAACATTATAACCATTCTGTCTTTTTTTTTTTTTTTTTTTTATAATGGAACCGCCCACCATTTCTAATCTTCTCTCCGGTTACAAATATTCTTTTTCTTCTTTCATTCTTTGGTGATACTTTTTTCTGTCACAGAAAAGAAAAGAGAATAAGAAAGAAAAAATTTTTTACTTTTTTTTTGATACATTATTCTCGGCTTTGTGAATATTGATAACAGAAGTAATTCGCCATGGAACAATTTTAGTAAGATATTTTACGTGGATCTGTAATGAGTTTAGTCCTCACTGCCTACTCCACATTTGTACTAAACCAATCTTAGCAAAGAACAGAGATAAAAACCAAATGGATAATCAGTCACTGTATAGAAAAATAGAATAATATGAAACTATCTTTTACTGCATTGTTTTATGATGCCTAATATATAGAACTTCGTTCTTGGCTTGATAATCAAGTAAAAGTTCTGTGCAAAGCATTCCAACCACCTGAAGAAGGCCGGAACGTACAACGGCCGAAACGTTGTAATAAATATGGCGACAAAGATGGGGACAATAGTCCGAATAATGTAAATAATGTACATAATACCTCATCTCAGAAATATTGACAGAAATTCTTCGTTGTTAAAAAGGAAAACACAAATTCTTAAAAATATTGTTTACCATGAAGTCCTATAAAATTAAATTAAACGGCGAAGTAGGTTTTTTGTCAAAGTATTTATCCAAACAAATCAGCTTATTCAAATTTCATCGATTGGTTTGCTAAATTGAACGAAACGTAGAGTTTGTAAATCTCGACAAAAAATGTTAGCGATGACTTCAACAATACTAAATACTAAATAATTTCAACGCGCGTCAGAGTATTGCAAAAAAAAATTCTAGTAAAAATTAAAATCCAGGACAATACTGGTTTGTTCTACTAGTTAATATATAATGATAAAATGATTTAAAAGAAAACAGCAATAAAGACTAAAACAGAAAGTTTTCAAATGGTGTTTCGACGACAGTTGAGTGTCGGTTTAGGATGATAAGCTTTTTAGGGATACCAATCAAATTGCAAAACGCCAGAAAATGTGGAAAGAAGTTCATGAATTCATCCATAAGGATCGTCGCCGAATCCGTGTTACTTACTGGTGGACTTTTTACGCCCAACCAAGCAACTTTCCAATACTACCTCGTATATATAGACATCAACCCACTACCGCCACATTATTCTTATAAACTGGTCGACTTTGTAGAACCAAACAAATATATTCATGTTTGTCCATTTATAAAGAATTAGCGCAGAGGTTACTTCTCTAGGCATTATCAAAGATGAGTTTTTGGGGTGTTAAAATTCTGTGTGTTTTTGGATGTGTGTGTGTGTGTGTGTGTGTGTGTGTGTGTGTGTGTGGCTGCTACATTGTAATTTTACAGTGTGAAGTTTGAGCAGTTTGTGTGCTTCTTGGTGATTACATGCTATGCGCGGCCAGTTGACTGGGGCAAGACTTCTATTTTTAGAACACTTTTAACACACCTCTGCTATACATATATATATTATCATTTTAAACGTTATTTTTTAGAGGATACTCATATTTGAGTAGACACCTCATTTATTTATCAAACAATATGTTTACTTATTCTCGTCTACGGGCTTGAATATTCGGGAAATATCATTTTATCCTGAAAATTCTCATGGACTTGATCTCAAATCGATGATTTAGGATCACTGGTCATTTATTCTGGAACGCATACGGATTTCACGATAGAAATGCTATTTTCTGTGCTGTAACTATCAGTGAAGTACAAGTATACATATTATCACACAATTAACTTTATTCACGTAATGTTTTTTAATATGAAATCATTTTTTTTATTCATACTAGCATGTCGGTTATTAAACTCTTTTATTATTCACTGCCGACCTGTAGCTTATAACCAGAAAGAGAGCCTGGAAGGAAAGGAAAGGAAGGTCGTAAAGATTAACGACCTGTCGGTGTTATATTCATACTTTTTTCCTTTCTCTACTGCTGGTCATACGTTGCATGACAGTATTTATTCGCTCTCTCTACTATGTCTGAAATTCTTCTTAAGAAAATAGCATTTCTATCGTGAAATTCTTCTTAAGTTGCTATGTGTCCATTTTATCGCTTCTTTGGGTTTTTTCAAAATTCAATATTGTTTCTGTTTGAAAAGTGTTATTTTTTTTGTTTCTGTATTTCTCTTAAAATGTACTTTGCCCGTTTCTCTCTTTCATAATTACATTTGTTTCTAATTTTAACCGTGTTAATTCTGAGTTGATTCATCAATAAAATATAAGACTGTCGAATTATCTTCTCCTAATTTTCGAAACCGCTACTGGGAGACGCTCTCAGGGCTATAATAAGGCAGTGACATTCTCTGTCACCCTCTCTTTTCCTTTTTCACTCAGGGATGGTAAGATGTAAGTCGAACGAGGAAAACGCTTTCCTCACAGGGTAATGCGCACGCACGTGCGGATCTTTCACTTCATTTTTTTTCTAGGACTTTCTCCTACACCAAACTACACACACACAAAAAATTCAAGTTTAAATGTTTTCTTCATTATGTTCATTGTTCAGTAACACGCAACAATATTCTATTGTTTATATATACCCTTGTTTTGTTAATACATACATTATCCTTTGTTTGTACATATATATTATCCCTTGTCGTTTCCGCATACGTGGACTCACATCCCGAGTCTGCCATTTTGTTGTGGGATGTTTCAGGAGATACGTGTTTTTCCCAATTCAAATACACGAGTGTACTACTCCCCGCAACAAGACATCAATATGAAGTAAGTAACATTTTCACTGAAATATGTGCCGGCAAAACGTGCAATAGAAATAGATAGATAAGAGTTCATGACTACGGCATTTTTTAAAATCGCGTTCGCCCCAAGTAAGGTAGTAAAGCCACCGAGACACAAGGAGTTACTGAATGTGGAATTATTAGAAAACAGAAACATTACTCAGGATCGGGAACAAATGAAGAGTAATCAGGAGGACAGTAGATAGCGATTGACATTGCGTTTAAATTGGGGGGATTAAAGTTGACTGGAAAGAGAGTACCTTTAGCGAGAAGTGCGAGAAAAGAAACTGTTAGCATAGAATTTACGGTTACATCTAGCCCGTACAATCGTTAACTGACGAGACAACGTGGCCAGTCTAGTCTAGTATTACGCTTAAATTCGAAGAGTCTAGACCCCATAGCGAAGAGATCATCCGAACAATCACTATGCAAGTATTTATAGAAAAGACACAGCGGGGCAACCTTACAAGGGTGGGAAAGAAACTGAAGCTGAGACGCCAGAACAGGGCCAATAATATTGCTGATTCTTCTTTGGATTTTATCAAGGAGTTCAAGGTAAATAACAGGGTCATTAACAGTTTAAATGTCTATATTGAATGGTTTGATGAAATGACCGAAAGAAGGTAGTTGCGAAGGTCAATAATCTGACGTAGATGCAGTAATGACAATTTTATATTCGCGTCAAACAAGGAAAATACGTGATGGTTGTGGGGAGAGAGTGTCGGTGAAGATCAATGAATAAATGTAGAGAAAGACACAACGAAAAATCAAAACAAAAAAACTGAAGGTAGAAAGAATGGAAAGGAAAAGAGAGAAGGTGAAAAAAGATGGAAAACAAAAAGAACAGATAGAAAAACAAAAGAAGGTATAAGGAAAAGTAAAAGAAAAGAACGCGTATCATCTGCTGACTAGTTGCTTCCTTATAAACTACGTTCTTCAAGAATTTAAAGACCAACATCAATCGCCATCTTTTGTCTTCATCAATCTTGTTTTCTTATTGTCCTTTATCCTCACTAAAGTTTTATCGTTTTCTTTCATTTTCAGTAACCCCTTTCGTTTTAGTGGCATTATCGACTTCCTACTACTCTAAATGTTATTTTCGGGATACAAGTGTTTGGATAGACGCCCTGTTTTTTTTAAAAATATGTATGAGTTAAAGATCAAATGCAGATCATATATATATATATATATATATATATGGCATTATCGACTTCCTACTACTCTAAATGTTATTTTCGGTATACCAGTGTTTGGATAGACGCCCTGTTTTTTTTTTTTTTTAAATATGTATGAGTTAAAGATCAAATGCAGATCATATATATACATATATATATATATATATATATATATATATATATAATAAAAAAAAGAAATAATCACGCATAGAATCAATCAGCAATATTAATGCTATTAAATAGCATTAATATTGCAAGAATAATATAGCTGATTGATTCTATGTGATTTATTTCTTTGTATATAAATTATATGCTGCCTAATGTTTTATGTTTAAATATATATATATATATATATATATATATATATATATATATATATATATATATATTATATATAAGTATTTTCATTGAAATTGTCTGACAAGGAAGATTTAAATTAATTAATCTTTTATCGAGTTTCTCCAGCAATCTAACATTTTCCATTTTTCAGGGGTTAAAGAATAAAGGAATTGTCAATAGTTATAATTTTTCCAAGTGCTTTTGGCTACTTCGTTAGTCATTATCAAAGTTGATTTTTTGGGTTGTGAAATTCTGTGTGTGTGTGTGTGTGTGTGTGTGTGTGTGTGTGTGTGTGTGTGTGTGTGGTTGCTACATAGTAATTTTACAGTGTGGAGTTCGAGCAGTTTTTGTGCTTCTTAGTGGTTACCTGCACGCCCAGTTGACCGGGGCGAGGCTTCTATTTTTAGAACACTTTTAACACACCGTCTCCCTCTGCTTAATATATATATATTATATATATATATTAAAAATGGAATACATACACACACACACACACACACACACACACACACACACACATATATATATATATATATATAAGTGAACATTGAAGTCAACACTCAGAGTCGACAGGCCGTTTCATACTAGACGCAATCGTCAGGCGGCCTTGACTTCAATTTTTACTTTTATATTTATATTTACATACGCTCTATCTCTGATATTGTGCACTTTTATCCCATCAATATAGTACACCTTAAAACTATATTTCTTCATATATATATATATATATATATATATATATATATATATATATATATATATATTTTAAACGTTATTTTTAGTGGATACTCATATTTTAGACGCCTCATTTCAATATGTTTACTATTTCGTCTACGGGCTTGAATATTTGGGAGGTAACATTAAAGGAA